AGAAGTCGCACAACAAATGCGTTTAAAGTGGGATAAGTTCGCCGGGAAAGTGTCACCAGCGACTGTGCAGATCATGATGACATCAATCACAAGTAAAGTGAAATGTAATAACTTGTTATATATCGTTTGAAAGCTGAATAAATACTCTTTTGTTTGACGTTTTGATCAACCGTGTATGCTGTTTAATTCTTGAGTTATTATCACTTGAATGCATCCAAATTTACTTTGAATCGGGCTTTAATAAGAAAAATGTAAATGGAAACCGCGTAAACTGTGGCCATACTACGTGGGATTTGACTTCATTGAGTTACCAACCAGATAGAAAGGTACTGTCTTGGGCAAAGTTGTTCATGAGGTCAAGGTTTTTTTTCGCAGGTGGACAGTAGTTTAGAGTTTTCTCACTTTGCGGCGCTACTATACATGTGAAACTCTTGCATATAAAATATCTCTAGATTCTGACCAGATAGAAAGTAAATGTATTAGGCAAAGTTTTTCAGGAAGTCAAGATCTTTTTTTGGGTGACAATAGTTCAGAATTTTTTCACTACATGGCTTTTCTCGCATATTCAATAGCTCGAGATCTTGATCAGCTAGAAAGTTGCTGTCTTGGGCAAAGTTGCTTAGGGGGTTAAGACTTTTTGCCTGGTAAACAGTAGTTCAGAGTTTTCTCACTGCGATGCGCTAGTATACACGTGCAATCCTCATATATGCTACAGCTCGAGATCCCAAACAGCTAGAAAATAACTGTCTTCGGCAAAGTTGTTTAGGAGATCAAAGCTTTTTTGCTGGTGAACAGTAAATAGTTTAGAATATTTTCGGTATGAGGCGGTAGTGTGCATGTAACATATTTGTATATGCTTTAGCTTAAGGTCAGGAAGTAACTGTCATCGTCAAAGTTGTACATGCGGCAAAGTTTTGTTCAAAGCTCTCTCATGTAACGTCCAATTTTTGATCTCCTTAGGTTATTTGAATGGTATGAATGGTATAGCATAAGGGTTCAACTACTACTTTTAGTTTCAATTTTTTCCAAGTCAATTCTGAGAAAATCAATTATTTTTCTTCAGAGAAAAAAAATGAAAAACAGTTTAACTTTGGGTGAACCTTTTGTATACAAAATTTGAAAATGATATTGAGTAATTTGCCTCTTCGTATTTCCATTCAAAATCTTTAAAATGATCTAAAAAGAACCAAAATTTGATGTTTTAAGGGCGTGTCCTTAAACTTATGATCGGGAGTGTACGGTTTTATAAATTTCTCCATTCAACTGAGCAAAAGTGCCTCACTCTCTAAGTTAGTTTCGTTGTCCGTGCACACGTAAATACAAAGATTCTGGTTTGCTCTAGACCCCTCGATAAGAAGTTTCAGTGGAAGATTCAGCGATATGGTGGAAGTTTCAGCGATATTGATCTTTTAAGATAACGTTTTCCATCTGAGATACGTGTTACCACTAATTTATCAGAGGTAAACAAGTGGAACGACTCACCCCAATTTATGTATCCACAAATCTGCATGAAAATCTTCACCAGTAAAAGAAATCCAGAATATATTTGTCTTATCCCACTTAGTCTGATGTAAATTGTATTTTTATTTTATGATATTTGATTTGCGAGAATTGACCGCCAAGTTTTGAGAAACTTCTGAACTACTTTTCATCAGCCAAAATATCTTTATCTCCTTAACAGCTTTGCCAAATACAGTAAATTTCTAGCTGTTCAGGATCTCGAGATATTATCTATGTGAATATTTCACGTATATCCTAGCACCGTGTAACGAAAAAATTCTGTACTGTCGACCAACGAAAAAGTTTTGATCTCCTGGACAACTTTGCCGATGACAGTTTAGCAGGTCTCGAAATATATCTAATGCGAGAATTGCACGTGTATACAAGCGCAATGATGTGAAAAAAAAACAATGTAAATTTCTGTCCACCAGCCAAAAGGCGTAACAACTTTGCCGAAGACAGTAACATTCAGTTTGGTCAGGATCTCGTGATATTTTATATGTGAAAATTTCACGTTTTTACTAGCGCCGCTTAGGAAATTCTCAACTATTGTACACCAAGCAATAGGTTTTGACCTTCTGAACAACTTTGTCGAAAACAAAAACGTTCTATCTGGCAGTGTTCGGAAAAACTCAAAAACTCAAATCTCATGCATGAGTTTATACGCCTATGAGTTTTGCCTGCCAAAATTCAACGTCGCGAAAATCACCGCTGAGTTTTCAGGTTCAAAAATTTATTTCTTTATATGTCGGCCCTATTCATTGTTATTACTCTTGTTTGTGCAGCAGGGGTTGGAAAACTAATACAACATGCATAGGCATGATATCAATTGACGTTTGAGTGGTTTTTATGAGTTTAAAGCTGGAATGATTTTTCGGTGATGTGAGTATGAGTGCGTGAATATGCATGAGAATCCCGAGCATGAGTTTTGCTTGCCACATTCGCACGCGAGTTTATTCTCGCAGGGAGACTCAATGAATGAGATTTGAGAGTGATTTTCCGAACACTGCTTTCTGGTCAGGATCTCGAAACAAACCACATGCAAGATTTTCACGTGTATTCTAGCGCTACGTAGTCCACTAGCGAAATCTATCTGATCAGAATCTCGAGATATTTTACATGCGAGAATTTCACGTGTATACTAACGCCACGTAGTGTGAACATTCTGAACTATTGTGCACCAAGCAATAGGCATTGACCTCATGAACAACTCTTTCGAAGACAGTAATTTTCTATCTGTTCAGAATCTCGAGCTATAGCATACGTGAGAATTGTACACGTTTACTAGCGCCACGGGGTGTGGAAATTCTGGGCTATTGTCCACCTGCCTAAAAGTCTTGACCCCCTGAACAAGATTGCCGAAAACATTAACTTTCTATCTGCTCAGGATCTCGAGCTATTGTATATGCGGGAATTGCATGTGTATACTAGCACCAAGTAGTGAGAAAATTCTGAACAACTGTCTACCAACGAAAAGATCTTGACTTCCTGAACAACTTTGCCCAAGACAGTAACCTTCTATCTGGTCGGAATTTCGAGATATTTTATATGAGAATTTCACGTGTATAATAGCGCCGCGTATTGAATTTTTTTTTGAACTATTGTGAACCAAGAAATAGCCTTTGATCTCATCAACAACTTTGTCGACGACAGTAACATTCTATCTGGTCATGATCTCGAGATACAGGGTAGAGAACTACTTCGGCTTAATCGCCCATTTTGGGCCTATCGAGCAGAAAACTTCAAATAAATCCATGATTTCAGAGTTAACAAGTCAATTATGCGTTTGGTACGATAATTTAGTTAATAAGCTACCGAACGAAGTCAATGAGAACGCGTCATATGAACGTTTGCACCCATAACTCCCAAAAACAAAAGAAGCGCTCCAACCGAATCAATTTTTATCTCCATCCGATAGGCCGAAGTGAATTCATTGCCGTTTAAATGGCGTTTCAATGCGTTAGGCCGAGTTAAGAATCCGTAGGCCGAGTTTGGCGTCAAGAAGCAGTGTTAGACTTTTGACAATATCTCAACGATTTGTTTCTCTTTTTCCAGAGACGAACCAGCCCAAGGCTAAAAGTCTCTTTAATAAGGAAAAAAAAAAAAAAGTTTCTCTTTATCAAATCTTACGGTACTTACGGAGAGGTAAATAAATTTGGAAGCCATCAGTAACAATAAAATTCCGTTTGGTGCTAAACTGCACTAGATTAAGAAAGACTAAATGCGGGTTGTGCTTAATAGGCCGGAAATGGGGTAGTTAACCCTATCACATGCGAGAATTTCACATATATTCTAGCGCTACGTAGTGAGAAAATTCTGAACTACTCTCTACCAGCGAAAAGGTTATGATCTCTAGAACAACTTTTCCCAAGACAGTAACTTGATGTATCACATGCGAGAACTTAACATGTATACGAGCACTACCTAGTGAGAAGATTCTGAACTACTGTTCACCAGCAAAAGGTTATGATCTCCTAAACACTTTGCGTAAGACAGTAACTTTCTATCTGGTCAGGATCTCGAGATATTTTATATGAGAATTTCACGTGTGTTCTAGCGCCGCGTAGTGAGAAAATTCTGAACTACTGTCCACCAGCCAAAAATACTATGTCACGTGTATAATAGCGCCGCGTATTGAAAAAAAATTGAACTATTGTGAACCAAGAAATAGGCTTTGATCTCATCAACAACTTTATCGACGACAGTAACATTCTATCTGGTCATGATCTCAAGATATATCACATGCGAGAATTTCACATGTATTCTAGCGCTCCGTAGTGAGAAAATTCTGAACTACTCTCTACCAGCGAAAAGGTTATGATCTCTTGAACAACTTTTCCGAAGACAGTAACTTTCTATCTGGTCAGGTCTCGAGAATTTCCATGCTGTAACCAATTAAGTCAAATGCCACGTAGTACGGACACCTAAATTCCCATGATTCTGGGCCCATACTTAAATTCAGCAATCGACTAAATTTTCAATAGCGAACAAAAATATCCATTAGTACCGTCCCAATGACGCACTCATCTAAATAAAATTGATAAATAGCAGATTTTTAGCGATGGCAATATTAGATTCATAGGCCAACATTAGAGCCATTTCCCCTATGTACATTTCGGCTATTCTTTTGAGAAGATTTTGAAAAATTTCAACAACTGTATAGTTTCCCTATTTCCATGGATTGAGAAATTTCAAAGAAGAATCAACTGACGTACATTGGTAGAATTTTTTGAATTGCGTGGCAGTCTTACAAAAATAGCAAACTAAGTGTTTTACTGCTATGCAACGTTTCAATCCTGGATTTTGATCTTCCTCAGGGATAGAGAAGTTATCGTTTTGGTCCTGAATCGTTTAGCCTGTAGTGTTGTTTTGGTGGTTTTATGGATGGAGTGTTGAGATGGATGTGTATTGTTGTTCTAATTTTAATTTGGTTAACATTATCGATTGTAACACTGTTTTTTATTGATTTTATTATGCACACTTGGTACGACACTTTTGATGGCGGTGAATATGGTTGCGTAGCTGCAGGTTTGTGTGGAATTCAAAATTAGCACAATGTGGTATAGCGGTAAAGACATTTATTAAAATTCAAGTCATAATTCGCCCTGCCTGAAGAAGTTACACTGTCCTAAAAGTACTGAGAAAATTAATGATATTCATAAAACCAGTTCTTCATATTTGGTCGTTTGATTCTGAAACCAAGAAACATATATTGTGAGAGTAGAGAGTTGTAAAAATCATTCAAGATATTATTAATAAATGATGAGTGAGATCTACGACGCATCAGTTCGATTCCTGCGAAATAAAGACAAGAGAACAGAAAGTTCTTGTTAGCATTCCGCTTTTAGCAGTACTTACGATTTGGTAGGATATAAATCTTATTGGTTATCTGATAGTAATCGAAATCTTCATCCAGCTCTTCCGGTTGATCGTGCACGTTGGGATCGTCTCCCATGTACTGCTGATCTCCGGCTTCTCGCATTCTCGACTGCTGACTGTGGCTGATTTTTTCGTTGAAACTTCTCAGTATGTCATCCGGCACCTTGGGATAGTTGGTCTGATTTGGTGGATATTCGAATCCAAGTTTCATCAGAACGTGAGCTTTGATCGATTTGAGGGAGGCTTTTGCGAAAACGCTCCTAAACTGACACGCCGAACAATGGAACGGATGTTTGTCGAACCGTGAATCTGGCCCGTAGGTAGCCTTTAGATCGTCGCCGTCGTAATTCCTTCGATGCATGCCGACCATCTGCTTGTCACTTAAAGTTTTATAGTGGGTGTTGTTCAGATGATTGTCATGCCGAAGGACTGTTTCTTCCATAGATGCACTAGAATCGCTGCTGTCGTAACCATCGATAACCGGCAGCAAACCGACCGTAAACTTCAACAACACCATCACATAGATTCCCCACACCATAGACTGCAATACGCTCCGGCGTTGGATGTTGAACGCAGTATTACTTTTTGACTGTTGTTGCTGTCCGTTTCGGTCGGCAGCTGACCTCACAAGCAGCTTCATCGCAGATGTGAATCCCTTCCCGGAAGGGCAGGAAAACACACGCAATCACACACACGATAGAAAAGAGAAATGGTCAGTGAACTGAATGCGTTCACCGCCGATATCACAGCCAATATATAGCGGTGCGGTAGTCCCGACGAGCCGCACGGGGTTTGCTCTATTGAATTAGGACCGGTGACTGGCGATAACGCGCGCAAGACGGAATGTACACAGCAACGGTTGACAACTAGGAATGAGAGCGATATGTGACTCCTCCGAGGGGTTTTTATACTGCACCCGCAAGATCGAATGGACACGAAGTGAGCGAAATCAAGATTCAATAAATTGCAATTAATTTAACAAATTTTGATGGAGCGAACGCTCTGGCTACCGAGAAGTGGGATCGCCGGTGCGTTGTTTGGTTGGTTGGCAAACGAGCCAAGAGGACATTGGGTCAAATCATTTAATATTGATGGGCCGGTCATTGTTGCTACGGGGTGATTGAGTTCTGAATGAAACTGGATACATTTGGATGGAGGATGGGAGGTATAAATTTTAATCGATTCGGCAATAATGCATTATTTGATTGTAACAGTTTGTGTATGTGTGTGTGTGTGTGCGGTCAATGTTAGTAACATGTGAAGCTGATATCAACACATCAGCCGTTTATTGTTTAATTACATGGAAATTGTAATTAACATTTTCATGATTCATTATGTATGCTCAGCGTGGGTCAAGTAGGGTGGATTACAACCCCATATTTTCCACTGCTCTTTCGATTTTTATTACAGTCCCCAACAATTGTGCCAAAATTTTAATGAATTCAGTTGCGATTTGAATTTGTGGGAGCATGTTCAAGTAAGTATGGAAAAATGTATGTGAAACGCTTGCGCTTCGTCCATCGTCGCTGTTTTCACAGCTAGAATTTTGATAAACCTGAGGTCTTTCTACTGTGGAATGGAAGTAAAGAATTGGAAGGATGTTTTGAGGAACAACCGGCTCCGAGCTCGATTTATAATACCCGTCATAAAGGGTGATACGGTCAAAATTTGGTCAAGGGAAAACGCATGTAAATCGGTGAAATCGTTTATTTAAAAAATCAAATTAAATTTCTTTTTCAAGTTCAATTAGTATAAAATTCAGGAAAAATATTCAGTTAGGCTTCCGCTTTTCCAAATCCGAATTGCCGGGCCTTACGCTTGACCCCTGCCATCAGATTTTGTACAGCCACCTTGTCCACCTTCTTCGCCGCAGAAAGCCAGTTTGCGTTGAACTGCTGCTCGCCCTTAGCAGTTTTTTTGGTCTTCTTTAGGTTCCGCTTGACAATAGCCCAGTATTTCTCAATTGGGCGGAACTCTGGCGTGTTGGGAGGGTTCTTGTCCTTGGGAACCACCTGCACGTTGTTGGAGGCGTACCACTCCATGGCCTTTTTACCGTAATGGCAAGATGCCAAATCCGGCCAAAACAGTACGGAACAACCGTGTTTCTTCAGGAAAGGCAGCAGACGTTTATTCAAACACTCTTTCACGTAAATTTCTTGGTTGACAGTCCCGGAAGCTATGAAAATGCTGCTTTTCAAGCCACAGGTACAGATGGCTTGCCAAACCAGATATTTCTTTGCGAACTTTGACAGTTTCATGTGCTTGAAAACATCTGCTACCTTTCCCCTTCCTTTTGCCGTATAAAACTCCTGTCCCGGAAGCTGCTTGTAGTCGGCTTTGACGTAGGTTTCGTCGTCCATTACCACGCAGTCAAACTTCGTCAGCATCGTCGTGTACAGCCTCCGGGATCGCGCTTTGGCCGTCGTATTTTGTTTATCATCGCGATTTGGAGTCACTACCTTCTTGTAAGTCGATAGTCCGGCTCGTTTTTTGGCTCGATGCACGGTTGTAGACGATACACCCAGCTTATTTGCGGCATCTCGGAGAGAGAGGTTAGGGTTTCGCTTGAAACTACCGGCAACTCTCTTTGTCGTCTCAGCGGCTTCCGGTTTTCGATTTCCCCCCGATCCAGACTTCCTGGCTGTCGACAAACGTTCTCCAAACACTTTAATTACATTTGTAACGGTTGATTTGGCAACTTTTAGCGATTTTGCCAACTTTGCGTGCGAGTAGCTCGGATTTTCGCGATGCGCGAGCAAAATTTTGATACGCTGCTCTTCTTGCTTGGACGGCATTTTGACAACTGAAGAGTGAATTCCAAAATCAAAATAGGAGCAACATTCTACACACACACACCTTCAAAATGAGGGGTGTTCAGGTTTTTTAAATGCAAAATTGAAATAAATACGTCAAGTTGATATTGACCAAATTTTGACCGTATCACCCTTTAAGTATGGGATTGCTTGAAAAAGTATTGTACCACTCACATTGAATATTGAGACTTGTTCTGCGCGGCGCATGAGGTGACTCGAGTCTAGGGTTTAAATTTCCCGGGAAAGAAAAATAAAGCACTTAAAAGGAAAATGCAGGATAAAAATGAACTTTATTAATACAAAAAGTCACATTGTGCTTACACTTTGAAAATCCGTTTTGCAATACGACTTCAATAAACAAACAACTGTCGGAAAGGTGCAATCGGTTTTTGCTGCAAATACTTGCGGAAACGGTGAAGACACGTTCACTTTCCGTCGAAGTCAGCTTGACTGTCTTGTCATCAAATAGTCACTTGAGATTCTGTGACAGTCGCCCGTTGAGTTCAAACAATGTTAGTTCTTTCTGAATTTTTTTTATTCATGTCTACAGATTCAGTCGCTGAAGTTTTAGCGGTGAATTTTCGAATAACCTATTCAAGTTCCTGGTTCTTACAAAGACAGATCCAACAGCTTTATTCTCTTGTTAATTCCTCTGGGACTGGGACTGTCATAGTAACGGAAATTTACACGACTTTTTTTAACTGTGCATGAAATGTGTGTTAATGTTGATGTACCACTTATTGCTCACGTTCGTCCATTCGTCTAGTGGAATACTAAAAGATTGTCGTCCATCAGCAACTCACTTTTGAACAACCTGCATTTTTTTTTTAATTTTTTTAAAATAGTCACTTGGGTCATTTGTGACTTGTCCGGGGGTGAGATTTGAACTCGTTACTTTGGCGTGAGAGGTAAGGATGTTAACCACTACGCCGGGGTCGCCCTCAAACATCCTGCATGGTTTTTGTCTTAGCTTTACAATAGAAATCACGAACCAGCTTCATAACCGATGTGTTTTTTTGTTGGCAGTCTCTTTCAGCGTTGCCGGACTGTTTTAAAGTTTATCGGTATCAAAGGATTTAAAAATATCGGTATTTATCGGTATTTACTATTTTAATTTATTCTATACTAGCTGAGTGTGCCCGGTCTTGCTCGGGATTCAATATTAGCTTGAGTTTATGCGCCGATTTAAAAAAAAAAACATGCTATATTGTACGTAGCCCCCCCCCTATTATCTAAGGGGCTACCCCCTATGATTATCTCCTTATACCCCTCCACTCGCCCCCACATGCCTAATTTGGTTCCATTTGCTTGATTAGTTCTCGAGTTATGCAGAAATTTCTGTTTCATTTGTATGGGAGCCCCCCCTTACAGAAGGGGGAGGGGTCTCGAACCATCATAAGAACCTTCCACGGCCCCAAAACCCCTGTATACAAATGTTCACGCCAATCGGTTCAGTAGTTTCCGAGTCTATAAGGGTCAGACAGACAGACAGACAGACAGACAGACAGACAGACAGACAGACAGACAGACAGACAGACAGACAGACAGACAGACAGACAGACAGACAGACAGACAGACAGACAGACAGACAGACAGACAGACAGACAGACAGACAGACAGACAGACAGACAGACAGACAGACAGACAGACAGACAGACAGACAGACAGACAGACAGACAGACAGACAGACAGACAGACAGACAGACAGACAGACAGACAGACAGACAGACAGACAGACAGACAGACAGACAGACAGACAGACAGACAGACAGACAGACAGACAGACAGACAGACAGACAGACAGACAGACAGACAGACAGACAGACAGACAGACAGACAGACAGACAGACAGACAGACAGACAGACAGACAGACAGACAGACAGACAGACAGACAGACAGACAGACAGACAGACAGACAGACAGACAGACAGACAGACAGACAGACAGACAGACAGACAGACAGACAGACAGACAGACAGACAGACAGACAGACAGACAGACAGACAGACAGACAGACAGACAGACAGACAGACAGACAGACAGACAGACAGACAGACAGACAGACAGACAGACAGACAGACAGACAGACAGACAGACAGACAGACAGACAGACAGACAGACAGACAGACAGACAGACAGACAGACAGACAGACAGACAGACAGACAGACAGACAGACAGACAGACAGACAGACAGACAGACAGACAGACAGACAGACAGACAGACAGACAGACAGACAGACAGACAGACAGACAGACAGACAGACAGACAGACAGACAGACAGACAGACAGACAGACAGACAGACAGACAGACAGACAGACAGACAGACAGACAGACAGACAGACAGACAGACAGACAGACAGACAGACAGACAGACAGACAGACAGACAGACAGACAGACAGACAGACAGACAGACAGACAGACAGACAGACAGACAGACAGACAGACAGACAGACAGACAGACAGACAGACAGACAGACAGACAGACAGACAGACAGACAGACAGACAGACAGACAGACAGACAGACAGACAGACAGACAGACAGACAGACAGACAGACAGACAGACAGACAGACAGACAGACAGACAGACAGACAGACAGACAGACAGACAGACAGACAGACAGACAGACAGACAGACAGACAGACAGACAGACAGACAGACAGACAGACAGACAGACAGACAGACAGACAGACAGACAGACAGACAGACAGACAGACAGACAGACAGACAGACAGACAGACAGACAGACAGACAGACAGACAGACAGACAGACAGACAGACAGACAGACAGACAGACAGACAGACAGACAGACAGACAGACAGACAGACAGACAGACAGACAGACAGACAGACAGACAGACAGACAGACAGACAGACAGACAGACAGACAGACAGACAGACAGACAGACAGACAGACAGACAGACAGACAGACAGACAGACAGACAGACAGACAGACAGACAGACAGACAGACAGACAGACAGACAGACAGACAGACAGACAGACAGACAGACAGACAGACAGACAGACAGACAGACAGACA